AAATGCAAGCCAAATTTGCACTGGCCTATTTTTGTGTGTGTGTGTGTGTGTGTGTGCGCTGCCTGTAACAGTTCTTAGGGTACTGAGAGTCACTTGTTGTTACCCCCTGCAAGGGAGACTTATCATAGAATATCAGGGTTGGAAGGGATCTCAGGATGTCATCTAGTCCAACCCCCTGCTCAAAGGGGGACCAAATCTCCAGACAGTTTTTTGCCCCAGATCCCTAAATGGCCCCCTCAAGGAGGGAACTCACAACCCTGGGTTTAGCAAGCCAATGCTCAAACCACTGAGCTATCCCCCCCACTTGTGCTTAACTGGTTATCAGCTCTCTGACACTATCAGCCAATTAGCCACCCACACACTCACCTCTGAGTTATGCCAGCCCTTATTTTGCCTTGCAGGCTAACAATAGTTGTGCCTCCCTGTCACATTCTGGGATGCAGTCCAGACCAGTGAGGGGTTGTGTCACTGCCTTCCCTGTAATCCTGGGTGCCTGAAATACTCTGCTACTGTGGCTCACAGCCTGGACACCAGCAGCCAGCAGACAAGCCTGCACTGAGTGGTCTGTGTGTTAAGCCACTTTGGCTCAGCACTCTGATTCCAACAGCCTGCTTGTTACATACCAGAGTCTGGCTGGGATGTAACAGCTTTGTGTACTACCAGCCATGTGACTCAATGCACTCGCAGTCCTGAACTTTCCCAAAACTATGTGTTCTGCAATATCCAGCCCTTTTCTGGACCATTCAGAGGAATAATAAGGTTTGTTTGCAACTTTAAAGAGTCAATACCTAGCGGCTTGCCACATTAACTGGAGTGAACAATCACTTCAATTAAAATATAGCACTGCATTTATTTAGATTAAAATAAAACAAGTTTATTAACAACAGGCCATAGGTTAAGGAAATAAAGGTAGATATTTTCACAGACAACTAAAAGTGAAAAACATACATCTCAAAGTCTAAAACTTAAACAGTCTTTGTTTAAGATGGTTTCTCTCACCAGTCACTCCTTGTCCAGTATTTCTGATTGTATCTCCCTCAGGACCTGCCAGAGAAGAACAGGATGCTAGTTCTCCCTAGGTGAAAGATAACTTGGGGTTCTTTGCCCTCTTTTTATAGTGCAGTTAACCTTTGAAATGGATTCTTCTGTAGGTTACCACCCAAAAATAAAGCTAATTTACATGTGAGGAAGGCAATATGGAGTCTGGTGATGAAGAAACTTGCTGGTTTCTTCAACTACAGGTGTTTGTTAAAAGCAAACTGATTTGTTTCTGCCCTCTCTGATGTAAATGAATGGCCACATGACATAAGACTGCTAATCGGTTCTGATTACACCTGGCTGGAGGTGTAGGCTTGTCTTTTTCTGCGAGAAACTTGTTTACTCACTCTGCAGACTGGCCTGGTAAACACATTTTAGTTCCACGTTTCCTTCATATTTGTGTGCTTCCTTGGGTGTTAACCATACATACACCATGCAAGAATATTAATGATCAGTGTGATAGTTTTACAGTGATACCTTACATCACACATATCAGATACAGTTTATGACATTAATGAAGTGGGGTACACTGATATTGTCATGCCAGCTGAAACTCACTACCCAATAGCAGTGAGCCCCTTGCCCTCTTCCATTCAGATACTATTAGGGTCACACCCCAGTCCTCAAGTCCCTTTGAAGCTTTCCCCTATAGTGTCCCAGCCCCTTATCTGCTGAACACTCACAGAAATACAAGGTAAGCTGTCTCCACAGGAACAGTGTATATGCCAACTTGTATGATTCAACTCAGAACCAGTGCCTTGCAAATATATCACTTAGATATATTTATCATGAAAACAAGGATAAGTTTATTATCAAAGGTTCAAGAGATGGTGAGTAATGATAATACGACCAATGATTACATATAAAACAAAATCATAACACACTTTATAGAGACAACAGGCTAACCTCCTGCTTAAATAAATCATATCTCACTCAGTCTTCTTTTCTAGCCAAGGCTGGTTATGATCTTGTTTTCATGACTGTAAACGCACTATCAGTTTATTTCCTAGGTGCAGGGTGATGAAGTGTCTTCTTTGTTACCCAAACATAGGCCAGGAAACCTTTGAAGTGTATCTCCAGATAAGGTTCTCTTCCACCACAGTGTTTCTATACCTGTTAGTTCCTTTCTGAAGTTCTTTCAATCCATCATTTGCATTGATTTTAGATAGATGATTCATGAATGAAACAATACTTAATTTACAATTCAACAGAGAGGCCAGTGAGAAATGGGCCATCCTGATTATCACTACAAAAGTTTTTTTTCTCCTGCTGATAATAGCCCACCTTAATTGATTACTCTTGTTATAATTGGTATGGCAACACCCATTTTTCATGGTCTCTGTGTATATATATCTTCCTACTGTATTTTCTACTGCATGCATCTGATGAAGTGTGTTTTAGCCCATGAAATATTATGCTCAAATAAATTTGTTAGTCTCTAAGGTGCCACACATACTCCTCATTCTTCAAAATGGCATTCTCTGTGCCTAACACCAGACAAAACCACATCTGGTTTTATACCAGTACTGGACAGGAGAGAAACCTTAAAAAAAACCAGGACTGTCAAGCTTAAAATTGGACTAATGGCCTGGCTAAGCGTACAGCTCCTCACATTTCCTGTGTGCAGCAGCAGGGAATCTTACAGGGAGAGGAGCGGGGTGGAGGAGGAGGGGACATGGCCGGCAGCAACAGCAGAGCTGGGCTTGAAGCAGGACTTTACGATCTCAGCTCTTGGGGAGCCCCAAAAGTGTGCCTGAAACAGCTTCCCTGTAGAGAGAGAATTTCTCCTGAAATACCCAAGGCATCTCCTCCAGCCTGGGGGAGCATGTAACATTAATGTAGTTAACATGGCTTTTTTCAGTACATTTCCTGTCTCCCCATCCCACCTCTGGTCACTGATGTCTGGACTCTTTGCTACACGCCGTATAGTGGATACTGGAGTTCCTGATAGAAGGCTGTTAGATTAGCAGTGAGCTCCTGACAGGATATTTTCACTGAATGCACCCAAATGTCTAGTAAAATTAGCTATATTTTAAATAACTCCTTTAGTGTGTGTCTTACTATAGATAAGCAACCAATACTGTGGTGAGAGCTGGAGGTACTATTTGAAGTAGGAGTACAAATAATACGTGCCTTCAGCCTTAACAGATATGAAATATTAGCAAAAAGCTTCTACAGACACTTTGTAGATGCAAACAAAATGTGAGCAAACCACTGACAGTCAAACACAACCCAGTGCTAATTCTGAGAAACTTGGTGGTTCATTTCAAGCCGTTCACATAGTCCTGATGATACCTCAAAAACTTTGTCTTTTTCTGTTCCTCTCCCAGCTTGCTCTCCCTTTGTTCTCCCATCCAATCTTGATATTCTTAGTGGAAAAGCTCTCTGACGCTCTTTCTTTTTGGTGCAGTGTTCACTGTCTCTCTAGTTCACTGACTGTCTTTTTTCACTTCTTGACTGAAAACATCTCTTTCTCCATTACCTATGTCTCTCAATTTATTTCACTCTGCTGTTACTTATTTTTTTTAATTTGTATTACCATGTTTAATTCTGAAAAATGTTTTAGGAAAGAGTTTGTATGAAAGTGAGCACAAAATGAAGTTGTGTGTCTTTGTTGTGTACAGCCAGTGTGCCCACCCCACAATTGTTTATCTCCTCTATATCTTTGAAGTTGGTGTGGCAAAAATAAAACATCACAAGCTAAATTTGTGTTTGCTGCTGTCCAAGATTATTTGAATAAGTCACCTCTATATTGCTGTGGCTGACATCAAAGCTATTCAATTTAGGAAAAAACTGAAGTACAAATGACAGCATCTGATTGCTAATTTATTTTTAGGTGATCCAACACTCGCAGCAAAATGTTTCTTTTTTATCATATCTGTCAGTGTTTATGGAAAACATCCATGGAGAGGCAAGCCATAACCAGTAAGATATGGCAACATTTCAAACTCTACAGTATGGAGGATCATAGAAGAAACTTGAATGCCTCATAACATTTCTGTAGTCCAAAGTATTGGACATTTCTGTAAAAGGGTGACTGCTCTTAGGATAAAAAGATTACAAAACCAATGAAGTGCTGTTACAAAAATCTATACAATATACTTGTGAAAGTGCACCTCATTACTGGGTAAGACAGATAATTCTTCAGTGAAAAAAAAACCACACTGCAGTGCAGGCTGTGAAGATATACAGATTGCACAGACCAAAAGGAAATTTTATGTGAGATGAATCCTTTGAACAAATAGACTCTGTGCTTTGCTCTTTTTCCCATGAAGGTTTCTGTTATAAGGAGGTATTGATGCAATTATATGTGTGAAGCTGATTTTTAAATGCTGAATTTTGTACATTATGTGGAACAGATTTTAATCCCACCTTGTTTTGATTGCTTCAAGAGAGCAACGCTGTTTTTAACAGAAAGTGGTTTATTTGGAAGAGTTTACTTGAAAGTACATGTTTCACTGGGTTTGGGAAGAATTAATGAAAGGACCATAGAGGTGCTTTAACAAATAGAGTATTTCAATCTTTCAAATGTAGAAGAAAATAAAGTCTATATAGCTTATTTTGGAAGGCATAAAAGTAGTTCTACTTCTTTCTCTATTCTTGGGGTAAGTATTTAGAACAATACATTAAAATATACTTGTGGGACTGCTATTAAGACTTAGTTGGATAAACTTGATTGAAAGCTTAACTTTTCCATGTCATTAAAATTTTCTAAAAATGCACAACAATCAATACATGGTACATTTAGAGAGCAAAGGAAAAAAAATCGCACACATTACTGAAATAACCCAAGTTGGATGTTGATGTTGCAGCTGAAACATACAATACCATACACATTTTGTTTGTTTGTTCACTACAGTTTAGATATTGAATTTTGCATGGAACACCACTCCTCTGGAACACTTGATTCCATGTAGCATTTAGTATATTCTCAAAGTTCTGAAATAACCAAATACAAAGCCTTTGGAAAACTATCTTTATTAAAGGTAATAAAGTCATGTTTTATGAATCTTCTTGAATATGAAAAGTTAATCCAAAGATGCCAGATACATACACCCTTCATTAAGAATCATGTAGCACAAACTAATAATAACATCCACTGTAAAAATCCCCTCCCCAAAAAAGTTTATTTGGAGGGTTTAATTATTTCTTGAATTGTTTCTCCTGGATTTAGGCCATACATTAACACGCCTTCCTTTATGCCTGCCCATGCCATCCGCTTGGTGGTGAATCGTGCTGTCCATTCTCCAGTTTTGCTGACAACTATAACTCCTCCCCGTCCATGGACTCTCCTCTCCATATAGTGAAGAGCAGAATCTGCAGCTTCCTCTGGAGTTTTACCTAGTGTCAGAAGCACATCTGATTAGCTATTTATACTCACAGTACAAAAATATAAAGACCATTAGTAGTATACTTTAAACATTGACATTATTTATTAGCTTTCCTTTTACCTTCAAGAATAAAAGTAACACATTGAATAAATTTCAGAGTGGTAGCTGTGTTAATCTGTATCAGCAAAAACAACGAGGAGTCCTTGTGGCACCTTATAGACTAACACATTTATTTGGGCATAAGCTTTTGTGGGCTAAAAGCCACTTCATCAGTTCTATGGAGTGGAAAATACCGGAGCAGGTATAAATACATGAAAGGATGGGAGTTGCCTTACCAAGTATAAGGTCAGTCTAACGAGACAATTAAATTAACAGCAGGATACCAATGGAGGAAAAATAACTTTTGAAGTGGTAATGAGAGTGGCCCATTTCAGACAGTTGACAAGAAGGTGTGAGTAACAGTAGGGGGAAATTAGTATTGGGGAAATTAGGTTTAAGTTTTGTAATGACCCAACCACTCCCAGTCTTTATTCAGGCCTAATCTGATGGTATCCAGTTTGCAAATTAATTCCAGTTCTGCAGTTTCACGTTGGAGTCTGTCTTTTGTAGAAGAATTGCCACTTTTAGGTCTGTTATTGAGTGACCAGGGAGATTGAAGTGTTCTCCTACTGGTTGAATACGCTGCATGAAAATACAGCGCACAAAAAAGAATAAATTAATCAATTTGCTAGAAATGGATTTTGATGGTGTTCATTTTTCAATTGGTTTGCAACAACTCAGAAGGGTAAAATGCTTATCAATCAGATTTCTCCAAAGTTCATCTTATGTACATGAAATATGATGTGGAAAAAATATTTTGCTCAGACCTCCATTTTACTTCCAGTTTGTTTTTCCTTTCCAACCCATGGTCTGGTACCCCCATTCTGGAATTGTTTCACACTCCCACTGAACTCAGTGAGAACTCAGTGAATGCATGCTCAAATTGTACATTATTTGGGGCAAGAACTGTCTTTTATCTAAGCTTGGAAAGGGCCCAGCATGTTGTAGCTAGTACTGCAAACGTAATAATTAGTAATCAAATTCTTGGTGTGTAACATAATTAGGCAGTGTCAGGGGAAATCTACAGCACCATCATATACAAAGCATGGGGAATTTTAGTGGGCACCCAATTTTGTCTCACTTCCCTTGCTTTTGATCAATGTTAAGCCTCTCAGAAAAGTACAAACTCTTCAGAAAGCCTCAACTCTCCTTTTGTTTTATTGAAACAAGGGGCAAAATTGTTAGGAACAGGCCCCTCTCATACATGCATCACACACATATTCATAGTACAGCTTAGAGGTAGCAAACAGTGTCTAGGGTAAATCAAGGAGATGTGAACTGCATAAAATATCCCAAACAGGCCAAATATCAGCTTCATTTGAGGAGTGAAAATTCTTCTAATTGCTGTCCAAACATATTTGGCTCTGAATCCCTGATCCTATCAAGTACTTCTCCCTAACAGGCCCTGGATCCCTTATCTGAGCAGATTTTCTGGAAGGGGATAGGAAGTGCTTACTAGATTGCAGTGCTCCGCTATCATTTGGAGGCAGATGCTATCCCACCCCATTTCCCTGGATCTTTGCATGTTGAAATTTTGGGAGGGATGTCAATGGTAAAGCTACTTCTTTAATCACAATGTATCAGAGATCTCTTCTGGGGAGCAGGAGGCTGCACAACCTTTATTTAGACAACCAGAATGACTTGCAAAGCTGCTAGGAAGATTTTAGCTCCCAGCTAAGCAGAGGAAGATTTCAGGGCACTTTGAGCTCCACAGAGTTAGTGGATTTTCAGCAGCAGCATAACAATAACGTTCTCTGGATGGGCAGCCACCTCCCACCATCCAGAGGAGACATGTTGAGGACTTAGAGGTAGTGACCTTACCATGCAGCCCACTCAAAGCTTCAATATAGGGTGAGCGAACATTGGGACTTCTGATCCTGAGAGATGCGGTTAGTAGAGAACCAGCCAGTCCAAGCACAGCACAGCTGAGAAGGAGTTGGGGGATATTTAATATACTGGGTCGTATACCTCTCCCTAGAAGACTTCAAAAGGAAGAGACAGCATGGAGGACTTTATGGAGTGGGGTATTGGAGTCATCACAGCTGATAGGAGAAATGTATCTAGGACAGTATGTGTTTCTTGCCAGTTGGAAAGCTGAAACATTGAATGATGCAACTGAAGAGGGGAATCAGTGCTTTTAGACCTTTAATTTTGTTCCCTTACTATAGCATCCATCAGCTTTATACAAGTTTTAATTCAGATTTGTCTTAGGGTCTTTTTAAAAAAACCTGTTCAACTTGCATTACAGTATGTCAATGGTTAGAGAATAATTACCATAACTCCCACTCCTACCCAACCATGCTGAAGATATTCACAGAGGCATCTCTCATAATGTTCATTTGAGGCTTATCTCTTAATGACTGCCAAAGGACAGGGATCCCTCACTCTGGTTTCTTATTGCAAACAGCCTTTATGCACACCACTGGCATGTTCAACACCAAGTACTTTTGTGACTGGGGTCCTAGTAGGGAGCCAGCTGTGGTCACTCAATTAGGTGAACTGCAAAGAATGGGGCAGGCAATCCTCATAAAGCTGGTGGATATTCCAATGCTTAGATTTACCAAGCCAGCATATTACCTTACTGGTTACTCAGAAGTCCAAAAAACATAGTTTCCTTAAAGTGATCCAGCCTCAGGCCTCCATCCAGTTACTCATCTCAACTATGATGAACATTTCTGTAAATCACATTTCATCATATAAAAGAAAAGGTTCTACCAATCCCAAAGGATCGGACACATGACCTCCCAGGTTATTGAATATTCCAGATCTTATCCAAATACACGCTACAGCCAATTCTTATTAATTAAACTAAAATGTATTAAAAAACAAAAGAGAGAGACTATGGTTAAAAGGTCAGTATACATACAAACATGAGTTCAATTCACTGAGGTGCAGATTCCTAGCAGAGATGGGGAGCTTTGTAGTTGCAAAGCGTTCTTTCAGAAATAGTTCATAGGTTATAGTCTAATGTCCAAATATCATATTTCAGGGTGTACCAGCATAACTGATCTTGCAAATCAAACTTCCCCTGATGAAGCCTAAGCAGATCTGAGATAACAGAATCAGGACCCAAGGGTTTTTTTTACACAGTGTTCTAGCATCCACTTGACCACACAGTCCTGGTTAAACAATAGGCTTTTGATGCAACCTTTTGCTTTCTAAACACCACCAGTAATTAGTTACATAAATTAACATAGGGCAATTTATCCATTAGGCACTCTATTACAAATTTCAGAGACATATAGACAATGACATTATTTTACCCAAGATTCATCCAAATGTTAATATTTCCTTTTGATCTCTGAATCAATAGTTATAGTGACAGTTCGGAACTGTCCCTTTATGGGTAGCATCTAAGATACACAAAATTACTATTACTTCTAACAACATGGGTTTGCATTTCAAAGTTCTAGCCTATTTAGCATGAATGGCCCTAATTATCATTTGCATACCTTTCTAACATGACTTTAAAGGTGGGCTTTGGGTCATTCAGCCTGCAAGTTGTTTAACCCTTTCTAGCCATGCGTCACAAACTTTATTTACAGCATGCTTTATTAATGTTCCGCACAGCATAAGGCTTTTCCCCAAGTCTTTGCCAACTACCAAGGCATGGGACAGAAGGGGGTAGGTCACACAGCTCTCTGTAATCTTGAACTCCTCTCTTTACCCCCTCTCCCCACCTCCTCCTGCCTCTCTTTTAACTGTTTGCAGCTGACAAGATGAATCACCCAGCTAATTAATCATTGAGTACTTAAACTACTACCTCATCAATTTGCCCCAGGTGGGGACACTTCCACAGTGCACAGAGAGGTAGGGCCGGCTCCAGGCACCAGCTTGGCAAGCAGGTGCATGGGGCGGCCACTCCGGAAAGGGGCGGCAGGTCCAGCTATTCGGCGGCAATTCGGTGGACGGTCCCTCACTCCCGCTCGGAGTGAAGGACCTTCCGCCGAATTGCCGCCGCAGATCACAATCGTGGCTTTTTTTTTTTGGCTGCTTGGGGCAGCCAAAACCCTGGAGCCGGCCCTGCAGAGAGGTGAGTCAGCCTTTAGGTCTCTCACTCTGTCATAATGACCCTCTCCCTGAATTCAGCATTTCTGTGTCTGTTATGCGGAGCTCTGATGTAAATAAACCATTTCACTGGGGAATTAAAAGATTTCACTCACGCCATGGAATGTTTAAAAGAAGATTAGAAATTGCAGATACCCAGGTTACTTCACTCTCCTGCCCCCTAACAAAATACAGTGTCTTGAGTCTGACATATGTCTGGTACAGAATTACTTATTGTAATTTTAATCATATTTACTCAGGTTATTATTTACCTCCTAACAAACTGTTGAAAAAAGAACCAGGGTCAAAAGGGGGCGGAGGGAGCCCCAGCAGAGTGACAATTTTATTTAATTAGTTATTTATATACAAGAGGCCCAGGAAATTCCACAAGGACCAGCTCAGGGAATTTCTGTCCAATCTCCCTCTCCAGAAACTAATGAGCAGGGAGTACAATCTACTTATCCCATGGATCTTTGGTATCATCAAGGAAAGGAACTGCCAGTCTCCTGGATAATTTTCCCTCTGAGCTGACGCTGTGTCTCTCAGTTTCTTGGCACAATAACCCCACATATGGCTGAGTCTATGATTCCATGAAATCCACTGGAGCAATGGATTGTTTAGTTAAAACAAATGGAACTTTCTAAAAAAAATTAGTCAGTACACTGTAGCAGTCACTTTTTTTCTATCTAGAAATTTAAATGCCATAGTAGAGTAAAGATGTACTTGCCCCTAGCTGCTACTATATGACTACGTTACCACAAAAACCAAAATTGCTGAATTTTATTGTAAGGAATAAATCTGTGAATCACGTGTGTAAAACCCCTGCACTGTCTAAAGACGGACCCACAAGTATTCTTGAATTTG